ACTCAAAGCATGTGGATATATATTATAAATATAAATACGCAGTGAACGGAGACGGCGTGGTCCAACATGCGCCACTAACAGAGGTTCCATTTCTGATTTGTTGGTAGCATTTTTTCCTCAACTTAATGAGCGATTTAGTGGCGACTTCATTCTGCTAATTTTGTGTCACGGTGCGCGTGCATCGTAAAATTTCACTCTCATAAATTTTTCATAACGCGCCTAAAGAAGTATAACTTCAATTAGTGGGCAACTTCATTCTATTAATTATGTGTCACGGTGCGCGTGCATCGTAAAATGTCACTCTCATAAATTTTTCATAACGTGCCTAAAGAAGTATAACTTCAATTAGTGGGCAACTTCATTCTGTTAATTATGTGTCACGGTGCGCGTGCATCGTAAAATGTTACTCTCATAATGCGCCTAAAAAAGTATAACTTAATAAAACACTATTTTGACCGGATTGAAGTTATGTAATACATAACTTCAATCCGGTCAAAATAGTGTTTTAAAATGAATAAAAGTTATGTTAATCAAAGACAATACAAAGTATAACTTCAAAAAATTCTTAAGAATCGGTCGAGCCGTTTCGGAGGAGTATGGGAACGAACATTGTGACACGAGAATTTTATATATTATATATACAGATATAGAATTGATTTTCCAGGTCTACCCTTGTAAAATACAATCAAATTGTTGGTCTGTCTATATAATTAATTGTTATATCTCTTCACAGCAAGTGGAGAGGCGGAACGGCTGGATCAACGTGGGTGAGCTTCAGGGCGCGGTCCACTTCCGCATCGTTAAGTACGAGAGGATCAAGTTTCTGGTCATCGCATTGAAGGACTCCATCGAGATATACGCGTGGGCCCCGAAGCCCTACCACAAGTTTATGGCCTTCAAAAGCTTTGGTGATCTCCAGCACAGGTTGGTGAAAATATTCATAGTAATTAATGCTTACAGACTAATTTTGTCTTGCTGACTATATCTGGATTCTTTGTAATTTTCGTTCAAATACAGTGTTTCTATACTTATGGGGCCGTTCAAGTATTACGTAAGCAATATAGGGAGGGGGTTTGTTTATTACGTCAACAGTAATTGTTTACTTTTTTTTACTCATATTACCCATATGGTTGAAAACGAAACGCATTTTCGAGGATTCCCTCAAAAAATTAATATGTTTATCTACAATTATTTTTGAGAGCTTCGCTTACTTTTGTTGTTAAGAGGAGGGGGGATAAATTGCAACAAATCTGCTTAGGTAATACTTGAACGGCCCCTATATATATAATATAATAATAGGATTATAATTATTATAATCCTATGTTTTTAAAATATAAAAAAAAACAGCGGGACCCCGGACCTGGCTATATTACCTATCTTTTTTATTTTGCTAAATATCTGGATTCTTCAAGATATTTTATCTTCAAGAATATCTTCAAGATAAAATATTTTCTTTTGTCCAATAAGTATTATTAAAATTAATTTTAAAATTTGATAAAAATTCTTTGTATATTTAAAATAAAATATTGTTGGTGTATTCATAAACAATTTGCTTTCTACTCCAGGCCTCTCTTAGTGGATCTAACAATAGAGGAAGGCACCAGACTGAAGGTTATCTATGGATCAGCTGACGGATTCCACGCGGTCGATCTGGACACGGCCAGCGTTTACGACATTTATATTCCCAAACATGTGAGTCTTTCAATATAACATGTATATTCCATCAGAGGTATTAAAAGGAAAAGAGTCACAACCAATACTGCTACTGCTTTAAAACCTGTCAATACTTTTTACCTATATTAGACATTTCTCGTCCAGACATGCGTTTCTTATTAATGAATTATATGAAAAATTATTTTATCTTAACATATATAAATTACGCGTCACGTTGTTTGTCCGCTATGGACTCCTAAACTACCAAACCGATATCAATCAAATTTGCACACCGTGTGCAGTTTGATCCAACTTAAAAGATAGGATAGCTTACATCTCAATTTATACCCGCAATATTATTTTATTGCAAATTATTTGTTTATTATTTCACAGTCATAATTCTAACAGATGGTTCTGTGTTGAAAGTACCAACGTTTCTCATAAGCTACAATTTAATGGCATAACCACCAAAAAAGCATGGTGGTCCCCATGACTGGTGTTCTCCTACCGTTTCCATTGAATAGTTTACTACTATGTAACTAACACCTAAGCCACAGCAACGCCTGTCTGCTAGTGTATGATATGTTTAATAGACATACTCGTACGAAATTTAATATTTAAAAGCCACTCAATTATTATTAAATTCCAAAATATCATACAAATCAAACTTATAAACTTTTTTGAGTTGGTTAAAAATGTCATAAATACAGACCAATGTAGTAAAGTTGATATATATATAATAATCTATGAACATACCAGGTTTGATATTTCATGTATATTTTCTATTTATTTATTTTACAGAATAATATAATAAAATAATAATATGTTACATTAGAACCGGTGTGGTTTTTATAAATGTAATGCAGTCTTGTTAGGAACGCGACAAATGCATATAAAAGTAGTTTTTCATCTTACTTTTTGTGTTGGGCAACGTTAGGCTATTTAATAACTAACTGGGTAGCAAATATCTCTATTATTATTATTTTTTAATGGCTCTGGCACGATTTGTGCATTAGCCACCGTCAATTATACGATTTTTTTTATAATTCGTGGCACGAACGAATTTCGTGCTTGTCAGAAATTCGACCGCGTCCACCATGTACGGTTTAAGCACTCGCCCGGTACCGCACAACCCTCCCAAAGGCCCAGAACAAATTTAAATTAAAACTTGCCCTCGAACCGGGAATCGAACCCGGTACCCCTCACCTAGCTGCCACTTAATAAGACCGCTAGGCTATGAGGCCCCTAGCCTATTATTTTATGTCTTCGACATGTCACATTTATACATAAAAATCTTGCAAAGTATATCAATTAATTTAGCAAAATTTATGTTGTTTAGATTTAAATGCACATTTGAATTTATTAACAAATTCTTACCAGACCCAAGGTGCAATAGTTCCTCACTGCATCGTACCATTACCGAACTCAAATGGCGGACAACTTTTGCTGTGTTATGACAATGAAGGGGTGTATGTTAACACGTATGGACGTGTTAGTAAGAATATTGTTTTACAAGTGAGTATTGCTTTTATAAAGGTTAAAGCCTTATTTCGGGTTTCAGCAAAATAAAAATAATATTTGTATCGGTCTATGTGACCAACTTTTATTTTATTTGCAGAATAAACGGTAATGTGTAATTTTTATAAGAAATATCTGAGTGATTTTACTGAATGTGAGATGAATTTAAAAAATTGGTAACCATAATCAGTAATTCTGACTAATTTGTTAGACAGACTCCTGAAATTATAAATAAATTCCAGTTGAGATGAATAATATAAATCCAGGTGTAAGGTCGTTGACCGAAGGTCATTCACCCTTGTGTTTATGATCCATGTTACTGAGATGTTACAAAACAAAAAAAAACTAATTTAAAGTGGTATGGTAGAACAAGCTATTTAAATTTGAGTATCACTTTAAAATACACTTGATTATATGCCCAAATGTAAATCAAACAGTGTACTTTTTAAGACTGTATTGTTTGTAGATAATATTAGTTGTTTTAACTGGTATTAAATGTTTTCAGTGGGGTGAGATGCCAACGTCAGTAGCGTACATTGGAACTGGACAAATAATGGGATGGGGCAACAAGGCCATAGAAATCCGGTCGGTGGAAAGCGGCCATCTTGACGGTGTATTTATGCACAAAAAAGCTCAAAGGCTGAAATTCTTATGCGAGCGCAATGACAAAGTATTCTTCTCGTCTGCAAAAGGCGGCTCTTCCTGCCAAATATATTTCATGACGCTCAATAAACCGGGCATGGCCAACTGGTAACGAGACAAGAGGGCGAAGGCCCTGAAAACTGTGATGCGAAAAGCCCTAATCACAATATATCAAGTGATTCTTCAGACGTGCTCAAAAGACTTGAGGACTGTGGCATTTTGTACTGAATTATGTAATTTCAATACAAGCTACTAAGATATATAATATATTAAGCAATAACCTATAAATTAATGTTTTTATATTGACAATTATTGATAAGTAAGTTAATGCTTAGAATTTATTTTGCAAATACAAATCGGACTAGATATGCCATATATAATTTGGTAATCATTGGTTATGTTCAAATATTTGCCATGACGGAACTTGTTATCGTAGGTGATGTAAATTATTCTTTTAAGAACACAAATCTGCACTTAGCTCACTGTATATGATTATTATCACAATCTGCAATATTAACCATGAATGATGAATCCAAAATTTGGTACTATTTATTATTTATTTGTTATGTATATTATTTACATGTATAAAGATGTAACTGTGCATATTGAAATTATATATTTGATGACTTTTTTATTTGAATTACCTTAGCCCAATAAAACACAAAATATTTATATCTTTTGTTTTATTTTAATTATACAAAATACGTTTTTTTAACAACAATCAGTGGTACCCCCCATGCATAATGGCCTTCGAATTCTACATCTGTTCATTGCTAACACATTGTCAGTCTTTGAGTATTAAGATATGAATCTTGTTAATTGCAAAACATAACCTCCATTGGTGCAATACATGCACGCTAGGATTCAGAGTTGACATTTAGTGCTAGGTGTCTCTCATATGTCAAAAACATAAGTTGCAACTCATAATAATCTAACCATCATAGTTAAAATTTCTGAAGCCAATCATAATCTCTAATGTTGCTCAAAATAGTCATCAATATGACAATTTATATTACACAAAAACAGTGTATATGTTTATCTCGTAATTAATATCCACATTTAGATGAGTTTTCATAGAAGGCACTATATTTTCTTAAGCTGACACTATCGAACCTGAAATTCCAGAGGCTTAAAGAAATCCATATAACCTAAACAAAGAATTAAGGCAGTAATACATTCTAGATAAATCAATGAATTAATCCACTCCTAGACAAAGCTTCAGTTTCCCTGTTTGACATTGGAACTAACATTAGACCAGGCACAGGGGCTTGCATTTCCAAATCTCTTAAATTGTTAACTTTTACTTTAAGATTACTACGTAATGTGTTAATATCGATATCAAGTTGTTTCTGATCTGCTTCTAGCAATGATTTTGTTGACTCCATATTGTGTTTAACAAGCACAGAACCAACGGTAACCCAACATTTCTTTGGTTTGGATTTTGCCAGGTCCCTCAAAGCTTCCCGGTTTTGATTTCTCCTTTTATCCAATAATACTATTTCACGTTTGTCACTTAAAATTTCATCCGCTAATTTTTCTACTGATACCAGATACTTTAAAGTTTTTGTCTGATCATCCATCTCATTTCCCTTAGGTCTTACCTACTAAAAATTTAATAACAAGGATTATTATTATTTCTAATTTCATGCTTAATTCTCGGTATTGGTAATTGGTATAATATATCGGGGTGGTGGCGCTGGTGTCACTGTCAGCTCACAGCACAGCTGCCATTTTCATTATTAATAACTTCAAAGTCAAATCAGTTAAGATGAAAGATCTACAAATGAACAGACTATTTGATAGTCTGTAGTAATTTAATAGTATTTTGAATAAATGGTGTTAGTGTCAGCTGCCATTGTCATTATTATCATATTAAATGAATAACGTCAAAGTCAAATTAGTGCAAAACCGTTAATATAAATGGTTTATTTCAAAACGATTATTCAATGGTCGGTAATATTAATAAACGTTATTTATCATAATTTTAAATATTAACTCAATGACTATAAATATTAAAATAAATTGTGCGTGTACTAGGTGTACACACGTAAGAAGTGAAACTTCTTTATGATCTTATTTTTCGAAAAATGATCTACTATATTATGCAACTTTACAGAAATTCGTTAAATTAGATAAAGTTTAAGAAAAGGCTTTTATTATCATAGACATGAATACAAATATTTCATTTTACCTTATTACTACGAAGATTATTATAGAATTTCGTTAATTGTAATAGAATTATTACTATCATTGAAAAACATCACGATTTGCTATAAAATTTCTCCCATACGTCGATATAGAAGTTTCATTCCAACGCCGATAAAGAAGTTTGACTTCAAAAGGCAACATGGCGCGTAACCGAAAAATGTGACGCGTAACGAAAAAATGTTACACTAAATTTTTTTCCAACCTCGATAAAGAAGTTTCACTTCAAAAATCTGACATAGACCACAAGCCCATGAACAAAAAATACCTGTGAAATGACCCAACGTGAATTACGTTTAGAAGGCTGTTACTATATCTGAAAATAACTCTTAGGACTATGCCGTCATTTCTGAGCGGTACATGTGAGTACGTGAGTGAATGGAATTTCTCAGATACGAAGGAGGAATTTCGACTAATTATTAATGTACGGCTATGTTATAAGTGTATAGATGATTAAAAATAAATGTCGAAAAACCTAGTGCCGTACTAAAGTGATGGTGCCGGAAGTCGGTGCAAATTTTTAATTCGACGATAGTTGCAGAAGCAATATAGGTCATTTATTACTGTACGGCATTTGTGTAATTCCTTTTGGACACATATACAGATACTTTACCCGTAAACGCCGTACATATTTCCAGCGGAGCGGTCGAAAGCCAAGGGTCGCAACCCTACCCCTACACCCATATACCCTAAGGTCATTGTAAAATGTACGGCAACATGTTCAAAATATTATTTAACACGGACAATAATGTTTTATAATTATGCCGTCCAAAAATTATAGTTAATATTTGTGTAAATAAATATTTATCGAAATTTCAGGATTTACCGAGCTCTTACTGCTGTAAGATCAGAGAATAATGTACGGCAACCTTTTTTTTTACATAATGTTACTAAATATTACCGTTGTACCTTATAGCCGTTCATTATAAATGGTAACAAATAAAAATACATATTATATATACTTAAGACAAGTTATTAGTTTTTGGCCATTCTTTCGATTGGCATCATAAAAGTAGGGGTGTTTTTTTTACATTTAAGTCGGTTCGATTCCCAAACGAGGCAAGTCATTTTTAGAAAATCTTTAAATGCAGAATTACTAACTTTTAAAAATAACATAAAGTCTTCTTTTAGTAAAATACCCTATCTACGATGTTTAAGGTACTTTCCCTTCATGTCCCATAACTTTGGGACGCCTTGTATTGGTAGGCGGTGGTATAATCTGCCATTTCATAGACTAGTGGACTATCGAAAGTGTACGGCACTTATCTTTTATTGAAGATTGTCTAAAGTACTAATAACCTGTGTTACTGCCGTACAGATAAAAGTCACCGGAAAATGACTCTTTTCAGAGTGAAGTAATTTACCCCATACACCTATGTGTTCCACGAAAAATGTACGGCATCCTGGAAAATATTATCTCTTTGTGAAGTACTCTCAAGATCATTTAATTTTATGTTCATCATCATCACCTATATGCTAATCAGACATATGTTGCGACCCTTGGCTTTCGACCGCTCCGCTGGAAATATGTACGGCGTTTACGGGTAAAGTATCTGTATATGTGTCCAAAAGGAATTACACTAATGCCGTACAGTAATAAATGACCTATATTGCTTCTTCAACTATCGTCGAATTAAAAATTTGCACCGACTTCCGGCACCATCACTTTAGTACGGCACTAGGTTTTTCGACATTTATTTTTAATCATCTATACACTTATAACAAAGCCGTACATTAATAATTAGTCGAAATTCCTCCTTCGTATCTGAGAAATTCCATTCACTCACGTACTCACATGTACCGCTCAGAAATGACGGCATAGTGCTCAGAGTTATTTTCAGATATAGTAACAGCCTTCTAAGCGTATTTCACGTTGGGTCATTTCACATGTATTTTTTGTTCATGGGCTTGTGGTCTAACACTGCTTCCTATGACTGCCGTTCGACTCTGTGGTCAATTCGGGTTCGGTCGTGGAACGAGTACACGAAATGTCACGAAACTCGTTTATTAATTATTATGGTGGCTGAACACACTTGTCGAGACACCCTGAGACAGGCCGAGTGCGAGAGTGTACAATAGAGCTCTCGTCTCGTCTCGCTTCCTCGCTGTTGGTCTCGCCTCTCTCGGTCGCCTGTTGGTTTTTTGCGCACGAGTCAAAGGGTCTCGCGAGTAAAACGAGAGACTCGTTCAATCACTCAATTTTGGATAATATTAAAACTTTATGATCCCAATTACCAATTTCTGTTGCGGTGCACAGTGACCATCTTCTTCTTCGCCATGGTTTCGTATTTTTTTTTTATGGTATACGTGAAGAAAATTATAATAACTTATTGCACAAACACAAACAGCAGCAGCGGTTTCCACGTCCATTATTAACGGTGTTTTAAATACAAATAACGTAACGAGTGTGTACAGGCTGCGCTCTTCTCTCGGTCCTCTCGGTCGAGAATCTCGGCGAGATGCTCTCGCCGAGTGTGTACAGCCACCATTACATATTCTGGTTGCTATAAATACAGGAACTGGTAGGTGCGGCCTTCAGTAAAAACCGATAGACAAAAATATACTAAATACTGACACCATTTTCGCTTTGATAGCTATTATAACAACTGTAAAAAACACTATAAATTTTGAGCCATTAAAAACTATGATTTGTTAAAATAAAATTAAAAGGCAGTGGCAAAGGTCAGCTCTGGCAACACTGTTCTTAATAGCGATACTTTTATCTGGCTAATAAATAAATTAAAAAAAAAAAAGAATAGTGATCTGTCATCTGTGATATTTGCTTCCGAGTTGTTGGCAGCACTAGCAGGCCGGTTTTAAATTTAATGATTAATCTCCATTTTCAAATTGCAATACAGATTCGTCATTTGACTTTGTAGGCGCCATTTTGTGGCGGCTTTGACATGAGAGGCCGGTAAGTATTTATGAAATTTTATTGTGTATTTATGATTTCGTGTTACAATAGATAAACATTAATTTAAGATTTATTTAGTGTGTCAATGTACCGTCTTAGATTGAATTTTTTAGAGGTGTACCCGGTATGAGAGGCAGAGGTGGACCACCACGGGGCGGTGGAATGCCGCCACGTGGCGGTCCTCGTGGTGGATTCCGCGGAGCGCCCATGCGTGGCGGTCCTCGTGGTGGATTCCGCGGAGCGCCCATGCGTGGCGGCGGCGATCGCGGTGGCCGCTTCCCACCGGGGCCTCAAGGTCCTGGCCCACACCCAGTTCCTACAATAGAAAGCAGGGGACCTCCACAAAGTAAGGATCTTTAATATATTCTAAATTCTTGATAATTTCTCAAATTTGTACTTGATGTTTAAATGTTGTTTAGTGTCATGTGTGACACATATCATTGTTTAGGCATTGTATTTCAAACGAATATACATGTAATCCATAAATGTGCATTTGTGAATATTTGAACAAATTTTATTATCTATTGCATGAGAATGTTTTGATATTTTGAGGTTATGTTGAAAATTAATAGGATATAACAGTTAAATTTAAAAACGCCGCGATCTACGACTCCCGTATGACGTATGGGAGTCAGACTTAGTTCAGATTCGTTACTGAATACTATCCTGAGACAAAGCCATGCCTCTGACATCTTGCTTTTAATTTGTAAACAGGAGGTGGATTTGGCAATAACCGAGGTGGTCCCGGTGGTATGAGAGGCCGTGGGGGCTTTGCACCTCGCGGAGACAGGGGTGGGCCACACATGAGGGGTGAGTTTAAATGCAATAATTACATAAATGCTGCTAACATATTATGTATATTCTATAAGCTTTTGAAAGACTCACCATTTAAAGCATATTGAACAAGAATTACAATTTTTAATCGGGTAGTATTTGGCTTCACATTATTTAATATCCATGTTAAATTCAGCTGTAATAAGTTATTAAGTCAGTTAAGCTTTGATTTGTCACACAAATTGAAGCTTAACTTTAATCATTTGGAAGACCTAAAAAGCACTTTGGCTAAAATTATTAATGTTCTACTTCAAATGTTTGAATAAGAAATTAAAAACAGGCTTTTAGGAAGTTTATTTTCTATATTTCTAAAATAAATCAGACTTCATCTGACTGACTGAGACTTTTGTAAATATGACATTACTTTTAGGGTACTTATTATACAGTTATTGTAATATATAATTAATGGATAGGTAGGGGAGGTAGGGGTGGTGGCCCTATGGGTGGTCCCCCAGTAGGGCCTCCCATGCATGACCTACATGAGCCCAGTGGTCCACGACCTATGCCTCAAGGAGCCCCTGCACCCGCACCCTACAAACGAACAAGTGGGCCACCACATGGAGGAGGACTGGGAGCACCTAAACGCGGAAGGTGAGATCTTTATTATGCTTATACACAATACCTTATACTGTATTCTTATTTATTTCATTGATTATTTATTCTACAATTCATCCGTGACACCTAGTCCTTTTTACAATAATTGCTTTGGCTATGTAGGTTATTGATATAAATAAATTAGGTTCCATTTATATAAGCAGTGTTGGCCTAGTGGCTTCAGTGTGCGACTCTCGTCCCTGATGTTGCAGGTTTGATACCCAGCTGTGCACCAATGGACTTTCTGTCTATGTGCGCATTGGTGGCACATGGTGTAATGGTTGCAGCTGCTTACAAACGTTGTGTAAAAAAAAACATGGCGATTAAAAAGAGTGGTGGAGAGTTTATTGCCAGTTCTTCTCTTCCCTTCTATGCCTTTGATTTGAGAACTGGCACTAAATGTAAAATTTGAAGCATTAATATGTTTTTCTTTACTGGCGAGTCATAAGTGTACAATGTGTTACCTATATGATTAAATGGTTTTTGAATAAACATTTGCTCAAACGGCGAAGGAAACCGGCAAGCCTTAGACAAAAAAGTTGAAGCAGGCTGATCATCTCATCCAATAGGCAAGTGCCTATTAGATTGACATGATCATAAAACAGATGCAGAAATCTGAGGCCCAGACATAAAATTGGTTGTAGCGACACTGGTTTATTTTATTTCATTTTCAATTTATACCTTCAATTTATATTATCACTATATATTACAAAACATTTTGTTATCTAAATTTTAGTGGTATTTTAAAGACCCTTATTATTGAATGCATACAAACCCCCCTTATTAAGAGTTGCTCCTTAATTCGGAAATATACCTAATACAGCCTTACCATAACATATACATATGTCTATCTAGGTTTGATGGCCCCCGTGGTGGTGGTGGTGGTGGCAGACCCTCAGCGGGAGGTTACCAGCCCCCACAACACAATCCAGCCCCACAGCCCAATGGATATGAGCCAGTGTAAGTAAACACAATTTTGTTAATAAATAAAAAAAATAAAAACCATTTATATACTATTTAATGGTCTGTTCAGTAATAATTTTATTTGCATTACAGTGGATTTTATTTATTATGAATTTGATTGCCATTTAGCTATAGGTATATTAAAAGCATACTTTTGTACAAAATTCACATAGCTATAGTGAGCTATTTAATAAATAATATATAATACAATGTTTATAAGTAACATTTATAGTTCAGTTACTAACTGATCTCTGATGTGTCTGTCCACATGTATCACCGAAATTAAAGTGATTCCTTCATTGTTGTTACACCTGAAATCACTGTATTTTCTTAATATCTCAATTATAAAACTTAGGTTTATATGATGATCCATTATCACGATAGGAATGTGCCGTCTGATACATATATGACGTTAAACTCTTACTGATATATGATATATTAAAAATAATTTTTACATCTATATCTTCCTATATTAAAGAATTGTATGTCTTCAGTCATACAGGATACCAACCTTACGAACAGCCACCGGCCGACCCATATGCGGCACCTTCATACACCTCAAAGTAAGTTTTTCTTTTATCTAATAACTATTTGATATCGAATTTATAACATAATATAGAAGCAACTCCAAGCCCTTTGACTCTTGATTTTTAATTCCATAGAATTCTGACAGCTATCGTTTTTTTGACATGTCAAAGATTACAAATCTTTTTAGCCGGGCCCATTTTTCAATTTCAATACAAGTCTGACCATTTGAATCTATACATGAATTTTATTTGTTAGTGAATGTATCCATTTTATTAAGTGCGTTGCTCACATTAAAAGTGTTTTTACGGCGAGTGATAATTACGTCCCTTTTCATCCATCACAAACAGTAGAATACACGCACAGGCAAAGATAGCCAGCTAAACAATAAAATAAACTAATTTAACTTTATTCGATAAATTTTTTGGGAAATTTTAATATTTTTGTATTAGGTCACTTGACTACGTAAATATTTAGATTTACCTTTTTGTAGGTAAAACAAAACCATGTAGCATTTTATTTTTTATTGCCCTCAAATGGGACAAATTTGTCCCTTTTTCGGTGGAGAACATTTTTAGTAGCAACACTTATGAAATGTCAGAAATCTAAAGAATGAAAAATCTGAGTGTATAGTACCAAACATTTTTTTTTATTTGAAACCAATACAGGATGTTCATTGTTTTTAAATGACTGAGCCAGTAAATAATTATTTTAAAACTTCTTGTAAAATATTCATTGTTTCCTCTTATGAGCTTTTGCTGCTCAAGTACAATTGGAAGTGGTGTCTCGCACCTTACAATAACAATTTGAAGTATTGTGCAATGACAAAACATTGCATTGAGACTTTCCATGGGCAGAGGCTTCAAACATCAGATGTGCCTCCTGCCTGTTTGTCCCCTTTTCTATAAGAAATATTAAGACAGTTAAGTTCAAGGGAAACAAATTCTTTAATTGACAATGTCATTCCATATAATATTATGAGAGATTCAATTTAATAGTTTAGGTATTTTGTTTATTAATAAAAAATTGGCACGTTCTATTTCCAATACATACAAAATGTTTATCATAAACATTAAACATAGATGAGACTGTTTTGATAGGAATTGCCGTCTGATATATAGCTGCAGATATAAACAACAGTACTGATATTTGAAAAATAAACAATAAAAAGAGAAAATTGATAGACCTGGTATTCATAATATATATCTCGCAGCTCCTATCAAGGAGGCAGTTACTCATCTCCGGCTCCAGCGCCAGCTTCGACGGGATACAATTCGGGCTACGGCTCTAATTATGGCTACTCAACAGGCCAAGGGGGATATGAAAATGATAGTTACAGGTAATTATCGTATTTTTAAGAAACTTCGACTCCACACAGACACTTGTAGCATATTCCTTCCTTTTGTAAAACGTTACTATACGGGGCGGGGATTGAATTACGCGTTATTGTTAATATTATTTTCGACTTTCCAGTACTTTACCCCACATAATGGTAACTTTTAGGGACAAAGAGTCACTAGGTGGTCACGAATTTTTATTATACTTGGGTACAGAAAATGTTACGGCGCGTTACATGGGGGGGTTTCAATAATCTCCAAAAATTACGTGACATAACCAATTTTTGTTTTAATGTTTTTTTTACTCTTTTGATTTTGAAACATTTAAAACTTGAAATATAGTTTTTTTTTATTGTGATTATTTAAAGCCATGTTGTTTACAGACTTGATAACACTTTTGTTATTCTGTTCTTCATAATTATAATTAATGTTTCAGTAATTCTGGTGGGGCCGGAGACGCGGGCTACGGAGCCAGCGAACCGGCCTACACGGCCCAAGAATACGACTCGTATGGTCAGCCCGTATACTCATACCAACAACAACAACAACAACACCAACAACCCCAACAGTACAACGCTAACTATGGTAAGTTCTAGAATATGCGAATATGACAACACTGTGTCGATGGTTATAGCCAAAATGTATTAAATATAGGAATAGTACTGGTGAAATTATTTCTAAGATCAGACTATTGTGATGGTATTAAAAATATACATTAAAGTAACCACGAGTAACAAATTAGGTAATCTTTACAAACATGATATTGCTATTATTAGATGAAAGGTCTATATCTTAAATATGTAACCATTGATTCATTCAGAATAAATTGACACATACTTTATGTAAGAACTGAATATAAGTATGAAAGGATATAGTGATATTTAAGTAAATATAAAACAAAATTCAATTGATGTACATAAAATGTTACAGTTACATAGTCCAACAGTAATATAGTAATTTTCCAAGTTAACAAAATTGTTAACATTTAAATAGCCTTAATAAATTTTATATTAAAAAAGATTTATCACAAATAGCGCACAGTAGAATGTTTCTTAGCAAGTCTACCGAGATATACTTTCTGGAAGTCAAAGTAAGGCTAAGAAGTAATAGAAAAATGTTGATTTCTAAACAAATGCAAAAATATATATATATTTTGTTAAGAATAAAACATTGAATAATTTCTATTCAAACCTAAAAGGTTAAATGTGTTTACTCTCTATAGATAGAATTTCTTCTAAAAAGGTTTTAAATGGCAACACCATTAAAAGTTACAGGATGAAAGAAATTCAAAATTAGCCACAATTAATAGATTATAAAAATTACTCTATGGCTTTTCCTATTTAAGTATGAATAAACAAACTGGCCATATATAAGAAAAACATGTTTATGAATAAAACAATAACTGAAATCAGTATTAAGCAGGTCTTAAATTTAATGAAAATTAGAGATTAGATACTAAGATTGTTCACTAAGGCAGTATATTTTTATGGACAATTATACAATATTTATAAATGATAAAAATTATTACTCGAGTCATTTGCAATTTTGAGTTAGGCTAAATATGGCCGATTCACAATTCCTAAGTTGAAGAACCAACTGACTAGGAAAAAATAAAATCATTTGTTATAAGAGCGTAGGGATATTTCAGGTAGATTTGAGATGGAAAGAAATAATATTTGAAACTGTCTCACAATATTATTCATGATACTTTTTATTGCAGCTTAAAGTATAGATTGGTAGGTATTGGATTTAGAAATTACACTCAAAACAGTAGATATATATAAATAATAGTAATTAAGCTATCAAACTCATTAAGGTACAAAAAAAGAAGTAAGAATATTTAAGAGATTACTACATATTACTAACATATAAAATTAAGCTATCAATAGGACATTATAAAAAAGGTTCTTAAGAACAAATTGAATGCAATAAAGGTTAAAAAAAAAATTATTGAATACAATTTAGTATTTTATATGAGAAATGGTTTTGATAATATTGTTTTAGCTTTCAAATGACGAGATTGTAGACTATGTCAGTGTTCTGCAAACTTTTTGGGTTCAATGTATATCTAGGAAAATTAGGAGACACACCACAAATTAAAAATCAGTTTTTTAATAAAAATAATCAACAAACAGGAACTTTAAATGTCAGAAAGGTATTTAATGTGAAACATGAGAATGTTTAATTGAGCATAGGTGGTCGAAATTTGGAGTAATTGTTGGCAGGGCTGCTCTTATCTCTTTGTCTGAGTTCATTTATGCGATCAAAAATATCCTCTGGATATGCAAATTAGATTAGTTTATAATATAACCTCATTTTCCACTGCCAACAACCAATGACCATGATACACTGATCACTTAAACTGCGGAACACTGATCTATCTATGTGATTGTTTGCATTACAGGCAGTTGGTGATTGATAAAGAAACTTAATGTCACAAAATGTTGGATTAAAACAAGAATGGATGTAATTGTATTGTGAAATAGTACATTATGTAATTAATACAGTGGTAAAATTACCATTTCTAGAAATTAAGAAATAAAATAATGTGAATGAATTGTGTAATTTCATTTTTGGCCATAAGATATATTATAGTAGTAAAATAAATTGGGCTAAAGTTTCATTTCAGAATAGTTTTTTTTAATGGCCGATAAAGGTTTTAAAAATAGGTGAACTGCAATGTAGCAAAGCTACAGGGGATTGTTAAGATAGACAGGTAACACATTTTAATTCAATAATTAAGTCAAACTGTCATTTAATATAAGTTAAAGGCACGTCATTTCATATACTAGCACTTACTAGCAATGTTGCCAAGAATAAAAAGGTGTTGCAAATTTTTATGCCATATACCAATGTTTCCATGCATAATAATGTTATTCCATTTGAATATTATGCCAAAGTGCTTGTAAGCACTTACCAAGTCAAAGTATTAAATAGAAAATAGACAACATTAATCATAATAATAAATCATTTATTTGCAAGAAAGTGGTACATTTATAACGATCAATTATAAGAGAAACAGTTACAGAGTTGAAATCACTAGTTACAACACTATCTTTATATGAGCTCAATAAGTTGTGGCTAAGAGATAGGTAGAAAAATATGGCTCAAAGAATATGAAACTGATATATGCAGGACACATTTAGTTTATAAGTTTTATACAAGCAAACCCGTTTAAAAAAAATAGGTACAAAATGAATAAAACGTCTTAAGCTATATAAGATAATTAACTAGCAAGTAAGAGTGAAGGAAATAATAAAACATATAAAATGATAAGGTTAATTTAAGTCCTAGCCAAAGTTTAACAGTAAACTCAATAACTTTATTCAAAAAGGTAACCAAGTACACTTATGAACATCCGCAGAAAAGATGTTAAATTGATTCTAAATTTACATCGAAATCATTTATTCATATAGTTATTAGCACAAGGTACACTTTGAACGTCAAAAAAGACATTAACTAACAGTTCACAAGTCAAGGGCGAAGAAATGGCAAGAAACTATCCGCCACTCTTTTTAAACGCCAAGTTTTGAGTCATACAAATTGTTTGAACTGGAGCAAATCAATCCCAATGATTAGGGTAATTAGTTTAGCACGATTGCGTTTTAAGTAATTGGTTTAGATACTGGTAATAATGCTGATGTGTGAGTGATTTATTTATTATTAATGTTTTATATATGTACAAACTAAAAGTACAGAAAATCGACTAAGGTGATGCCTGAAGGGCTAAATCACAGTACAAGTTTCTTTAATTTGTATTTTAATTCCTTATAAGCTTAGAGATAAAGAACATATACAATTAAAATGAAACGAAAACATTACAACACAGAGAAAGAAACGTTTTATTTCCCTTCATAATATTACATCTATCTACATGGAGCCAATCAATCGCATTCCAGGTTAGCTAAAAATACCTTTTAGAAATTAAAATTCAATTTTCGAGTGTTATATTAAGATGCAATAATGAACAAGTGTACGAACAGTAAATGGGTACATTTTATTCTTCTTTATATAACTTCTATTCTTTTCTTTCTTTCGTCATCTTTATATGAAATCATCTAGAATAATTGTATAAACACGATTGCTTAATAAACTTTTAAACAGCTATTAATAAAACTTATGATATATTTTCTCTTTACTCGTAACTTTATTACAATGTCAAAATTCGAATGAGCTCTGTCCTATTCTCGTGTAATATATAGGTAAACCTAGAGTCTGGCTAATGAAAGAAGATAACGAAAAAGCGCGGCAAATTTAAAAAAAAATAGTATGGTATCCCTAAAAGTTTGATATTTTTTGTGGATTAAACATACTTCATACTTGATTTTATTTTTTACATTGATAGTTACTGTATTTCTATGAAATTAAATACTATACGTATTTAGTCTTTTACTATTGATATTTAAAATGACTAGCATTGCATGAAAAAATTAAAACAATATTTATTATAAAACACAACTTTATTCGGAATTATCAAATCCTGCGAAAGAAACGAAATATTCTATCAAATAAAACAAAGTTTAGGCTATTATACCTGTTAACTATCCGGAATAAATATATAATAGAAATAAAAATGAGTAATTGCATGAAGTATCAAGACAATAAATCATACTAACCTAAGAAATTAAATGACATTCTGTGTTGCCATCCTAAAGTTTTCAAATAGTTCAATTGTCTTCTTTCATTAGCCAGACTTAAGTAATTATGCAGCCACGGTAGTGTTGCCAGTTAAAAACACTACCGAGATTCGTACATCAGAATTATTGACCAATTATTTTTTATTTAACTGCAGGTGATATAACATTTAAATATTTTTCAGAATATGGCTAACTAAGATGACAAAATGTCACGAGAAATGCTTTGAGACACATTGACACGGTCTACACGAAGTGTGCTTTACTCACGTAAGTATATTATTATCAAAAATGTAACAATTTTTTTAAACAATTTTATAATTGTTTTAACTGTTTGATACTCTTCCGTTGTTCATACGTGAAATACTACAAAACATTTAATGACTACTGTATAAAAAAAAAGGGTGCGTGTACTTATGTACGCGCGTAAGAAGTTATACTTCTTTGGCTTTCTTTATTTTTTTTAAATATAATTAATTAATATTTAACGTAAACAATTTAATAATATTTAGTATATTTATTAATTAAAATTAATAACAATTATTATTGTATTATATTATTAATTCAATTTAATAACTAGGTAGGTTTCATAACCTAAACATAACATAAGTAACAATAGGTCTGTGAAAAAGCATTGCTAAATTTCTTTGAAAAAATAATTAAAACTCCTTTATTTGTTTAAAAGGTAAATGTCATTATTGTCATTCAAAATATTTGGCATAGCTGCTAACTTCACGCATATTCTATTTCTTTTTACTTGTAGATTGAATCACACTGACAACTTTGTGTCTCAGGTGCGCGCGCATCGTAAAATTTTACTCTCATAAATTTTTCATAACGCGCTTAAAGAAGTATAACTTCGAAAATAAATAATTTTATATTAATAAAATAAATATGTTACAGGATATAAAATTATTTAATTGAATAAAAATACTAAATAAAAAAACTAAGTAAAATAGTGAGATTAGCTTTTTAGTTTGTTGTATGATTTTTTTTGTATTATTTTAGATTTCTATAATTTTGGTTAGATGATTTGGTTATGTACTTCTTGCTCCTTACCCACCATATTATTATTTTTTAGATTTTACCGTACTATGGTTGCCTGGAAGAGATCGATTTTTAGCGATAAGGCCGCCCGTTGCATCTCTTATAATTTTCATGTATTATGTTATTTGCTTTCTATTATAAAAGTAACGAAGTGTGAATAACTACAAAATAAAAAGTATAGAATCAAAATCCAGTGGTGGTGTAATCTCTAGGTTTTTACTTCTTCTGCTCATTTTGTATTGTTAATAGGCGATTTTCTCACGCTATTATCTTCGCCGTACAAGCGAAGGTTAATTGTGGACATAAAAAGAAAAAAAAATTGTCTCATCCGGGATTCGAATTCACCACCTCCGAAAAGACAGGCGCCTGTGAATAAAAATGTTGTGAAATAGTAAAAAATATAACAAATGTTTTATTGCTTCGCTGAACCCAAACCTGCGGGCTCTGTATAGTGTATGTTATATAAAATCTGAAATTGTAAGCTCTTTGTAACTTTGTTTTAATTGTTTCAGGTAATGTGCTTCGCAGATGTGCAGATGAGATTACATAACTAATAAATGAAATAATTAATCTATCTTTTATTTTATTTTCCATATTAGAATTAATAATGGATTAAACAGACTTAGATTTTAATAAACACGTCTTTATTCGTGTTTTTTTAATCATATTTTTATGTATTTACATAGTCTGACTTTTTTTGTATTTGTGGTCACAGCACTGCTAATTTGCTTTTTTTATGTTGACAACGTATACGTCATTTTAGTAATATGAAAAATGTTATTTATTATCCTTCTTGTCAGCAAAAGTAAGCTAATAGCATTTTTTTATTGATTCATGAGCAGCAGATATTCTAGAAATAAGAAAAGAAGCTTTGATAAAAGCCTCGATCGATTATTCTTGTTAATTTTTGGCTCCGGCAAGGTTGGGCATCAGCCAGCGTCGAGGAAAATTGAATAATTCGCCGTAATAATTAATTACAGTTTATGAATAATAAAGAACTTAGGAAACTAATCGCGACTCGCGACAACAAATTATTAAAAACTAAATTAATTTGAATAATTACAAGGGGAATAAGAAATCAAAATTATAGTTTAATGTTTTTACAATAAACCTACTTATAATACTATATACAAGGGAATTAAAGCTGTCTATATGTGAAGGAAGTAAAGGTAATAGGATAGGTGTAGGCATACAACACCATACCCTTCAGCCCTGTCTTCTCTTAAGCATAATTAACCAGGGATTTTGAATACATAATCGCTCTAGCCAGGAGAAAAAATAAAAGGATTGTAAGTATTTATAATGTGGATAATTTCATCCTTTTTGTTAATACTGCGGCAGTTCCATTGAACTAACCTGTCCATATTGGTCATTATTAATATCAGTGTAAGTATGAATTAAATTAGCAGCGTAGGAAAGATTTTATAAATGTAGTAATTAACTGCTATTGTCTGTTGTGAATTTGCATTAGAGGATGGTGGTAATGCAACATCCATTAGAAGGCTCTGGCATATTGTAGACCCTTATAAGAGAGATGATGTGGAGGTGATGAACCAGGCAATACCGTATTTACCGAAGAGATTTAGTTGGTAGAGGGGATACAATATCAGCAAATTATTTAGAAATGGGGGGTGTAATTTTGACGCTTCAACATAGGATAAGCTATTCTATGCCATTGTTACTTTAATATCAGCTGTTTGTCTCACATACTCTGGGCAGTTTTTGCTTGAAGGAAAGTGCAGCTCAGAACATCAGCAGCAAGAACCACGGTCTTCCTCCACATTACAAGCATCTGGGCTTTGGCCTGTATTCGACCTTTGTGTGCTCAAAGCGGCAACTATTAAAACACTGGATAGTCGAGTGTAGTAATAATATATATAATTTAACAGGCAAAGAGTTATAGCACATAAACGTCTAGGCCAAACTTGCCCATCAAACTTAAACACGACTCAAAGGTGGGTGTGTTCTTTACCATGACTATAGTTTAGTCTTCTGAGTTTCAGAATTCACATTAGTGTTCTCCATAATATCCTCGGGAGACAACTAAACCCTTACTAGTTACTCGTAGGGTGAGATCTATAGTGCGCACTTAGACTTTGCTCTGACTTAACTATCGAGCTAAGACACAGTCGGTATTTATAGAGCAAACTACGAATCTCTCCCTAGTGTTGGCTTAGCTTAATCTCAAGTCCACGAAATCGACGACTTACCAAAAACTTTGACTATAAGCCTAACAAAAATAATGGCCCAAAATTTGCTTTACCATCATATCTTTTACTGGACTTTTTATTTTTGTCGGTTTTTAATGAACGGTGTTGCCATTTTGTATCGGAGTTCCATAGACTTTGGGAAAAATAGAATTTGAATTCAAAGAAATTATAAATGATCTTGATAAATACCTATGAAATGCATGAAATAAAATAATTACACATTATTATGGTATTTATTGTTGTTTATTTATATTATTTATGTAATTGTTCAAACCCCATTTTTGAGAAATCTTAAAAATAACTGGTGTGATTTTGTATGTCACCTGGCAGCCCTGGCAATTGGCATATTATAGTGACAACGAAATTCAAACTATAACCTAACCAAAACATTGCGATCCGTTCTACGTAATAAAATTATTGTCATCTTTAAATAATTAATACATTTTCTAAAGGTTACTCGTGAATTTCTAGTTATTGCAATAATAAAATAAATGAATACATAAATAACAATAAATTGAAGATATATGTGTACCGTTTTAGATTTTTAAATATTTGTTATTGTTAACTTTTTTAAAGGATAATAAACAAAGTATTGCATGAAATGAAACATCAATTTGTATTTTGACATTTTCTGTCTTAGCTTGGGCTTAGCTTAATCTCACCGTTAAAATGTCTATAAATACGAAATCATAGTTTAACCTTAGTGTACACTAAGCAAAGTTTTTCGTAAGGTAAGTCTGAGCAAAGTCCAAGTGCGCACTATAGATCTTACTCGTAATGTTAAAAGTTGCGATAAAGCCTTTATGTTGTTAGCAGCTAAGCAGTTTGAAATGATTTGTCATTCCAAACTGCTGTTAGCGTCTGTAACATTATTGTTGTTAAAGAAAGTGTCAGTTTTTAACTTGTCATTGGCTATCGTGATTTGATCATCCGGATCCATTAGAACGTGTCGGGGCCTACTTCGGGCCTTATTTGTCGGGAACTGTCGATGTCTGTTGTCCGCTTCCTTCCTTATAATGGTGTTGAGGGGTAACAAGTTTCAGAATTATTTTTTCGTATTAGACAAATTATTTTCCACAGTCCCAGTCAGATGTGAGGGGTCGTAGAGAGGTAGATGAGGGTTAAAGAAATTTACCAATTCAGTCAGAACTTATGAACTATTCCTTTCATGCGGATATTTTATAATGTGCCATACCATAATTCAAGTAGTTCGAATTCATGAACAATAATTTATTTCAAACATAAGTGCCAACAATGTAGCGGCATTGGGCATCTGTGGTCTCACCTCTCAACTCTCAAAGGCATACTCAAGACTTGGCCTAAAGGTCTAGATACCAGGCCATAAACTCCAAAAAAAAATAAAAAAACTCTCAAAGGCACCCTCCTTTCCCAACGTATTTAAATTGCTAGACTGCATGAAGAAATAATAATTTTTGTTTATGGTCTCCGTTTGAATCGCATAATATAAATACATATATTATAATGATCCGTCTAAACAATTATTGTCAATTTTGTATCGAGGGATGTTCAAAATTAGATTTTCTAACGGAAACTTTTGTCGGCGAAAGAAAGTTGTCACTTCTATAAAGAGTTGCGCGGTTGTTTTGAAAACTTCAAAATTTATTTTGAGGATTACTAATTAATTCATTACCTAACGTTATTTGAAACAATGAGGTACTTAAGCAATTAACATACATAATTATTAAATATGTGTAAGTGATCCCTTGATATTACAATATTTGTTTATTTTAATGTTACAGTGATTTGTCGCGTAATCATCGCGTCTCATATAGACAGCTAGAATATTTATGGGAATTTTTAGATAAAAATAGGGATGTAGCCACTGGATATAATAAAACATCACATGCGAGACATGTTTCACGAAAATTGTGGGAAGAAGTCGCTCTAAGATTAAATTCAAACAAGGATGGCGCAGTTAAAAATTGGAAATCATGGAATAAAGTATGTACTTATGTGTAAAAGTATATCTGAAATCCGTTGATAAGTGACATTCATATTAAATGTATTTTTGTATAGACAATTTTTTACAAATTCATTTGATATTAATAATTTCTATTTGTAAAATAAAACTGCCATGTTAACAATAAATTTAAATCATTTACAGTATTGGAACGACTATAAATCGAAGTTAAAAAAATTGGTAAGAAAAAATAATGTGGCCAAGGAGAAACCTAATGGGGGCAAAGCAAAATCAAAATTTTTTACAGAAATAGAACAAAAGTTTTTACATATCCTTGGAATCGATGTTGCTTCTGTGTTGCCTGCAACTAGAGTTAAATCACTTATACAAGTAAGCTTATATATAGAAAATGTATCTATAATATTTTTCTAAATGTAGGTTACATAAAAATTAAACTCAAGACTCTCTTAATATTTTACAGAGACACAGCTCCAGCATAAATGGGGTAGCTACATCTAGAAACAAGTCGAGACCCGGGCCTGCCAGCCAGTCACCTTCACACATTCCACTGTCGTCATTATCCACACCGCTAGCACTGACTGTAATGCCGACAATTGTTGAAACTGAACTACAACATTTGGCACCATCCAGAATGAATTTAGGAAAAGTAACGCTGCCACCAACACCGAAGGCACAGAGATTACCTCATGTTGTGAACAGTCATCATCCAGCTAGACGACCCCTCATCTCAGTTCAACAGACTCGTCAAGCACTTATCATCGAAGCTCAAAAACAAACACAAATTCAAAAACAAAAATTAAAGTTGTGGAAGGAGCTTATTAATGAAATTAAGGATATAAAAGAAATCCTGAAACCAGGTAAAATGCACTTAAATTGTATTGACACACACATTACTATATTATCAATAATTTGTTATTAGTTGGTAAATTTTTCCATTAAGTCTTAGATATTGTACATGACCAAAACAGCTTTGTATATATCACAGAAAAAAATGATAAAAAAGTAATTGAAAAAATAATTATAGTGTATCTATGATAAATTTACAATTTATTTTCAGGTCAATCCCAAAATCATTGAAGGGGTTTTATTGTAACACGTTGGTGAAGAGCCTCAGTGATTGTTCATATTGAGGAAATCAGAAATTGATTGGATCCCTATGGTAATTTTGAACACGTGTAAAGCCGAACGTCCACCGCCGGCTAGCCGGCTAAACTAAGTTAGTTTAGCTTAGCTCGCGTAGTTGAACCAGTGTTTCACACATGTGCGTCCACCGCAAACTATGCCAGCTAAGCTACGTGAAATGCCCCAGTTAAGTGGAACTAACTTAGTTGTGCGGCCGATCCGTAACTAACTGAGCTAAACTAAGCGCCTCTCACCCCCTTGCCTTACCCCTCTGCGGCCTGTCGACAGTGTTGTGACAGTAGTCAGTATCTCATCAAACTGTTGTCTAGATACACGATAGTACATCTTAAAATTTTGTTGTCTAGTTCATGTTAAAATCAACAAAATCTTAAATTCGCTACTTGTTTTCCAGAACTGAATGTGTTCACTTATCCAGTATCTATGTTTCCGTTTTTTCTTCATAAAATAAGCAATAATCAATCTTCTTCTCCTATGACGATAGTCCTCCTCTTACCTCTAAAGTTATCGTCATTGCTCGTGTCGTCTTCTAACTCGACGTTATAGCACAAACTGGCCATCACTAACGTAGTTTTAGCTTATTTATTGGTGGACGGACAACGTAGTTCTAGTTTAGCTTAGTTCACTGAGTTTAGTTTTCATTTAGTTTAGCCGGTGGTGGACGTTCAGCTTAAAACTGTGCAAGCATTAATAATTCTTGTAGCTATCTCCTTGTGTACCCCAGGGGTTTAGTGAATGGGAGCTGAGTGGACTGTCCGACCCAGAATGGCCTAGTTCCCACCCCAGGATATTAGCTTACCAATTGAAATCTCTTGGGGGTACTTAAGAAAATTAAAATGTAGTCTAGACTCCATTTCTTTCTGTTTTAAACCCTTTACTGACCCATTCAGTCTATTATAAAGGAAAACATAAAGTTCAATTGTCATTTCAATTACATTTCAGGAGTGAGTACAGATTGAAACTGATTTTTTTTTATAATAGGTACTTAACGTAAAATAATATAGTATTATTATAAATTTATTTTCTTGTTATAAAAGTTACATAATATATAATAAATTGGATTGTATTTTTAATTTAAATATAATGTATCCCACCTCTTTACCTAATTAAACAATATCAAAGACAATTAAAGAACATCTACAACAGTCTTTGACAATGTTTGTAGAAAATGTAAATAAATCAGACAAAGTCAAGCGAGTGTGCACTAATACGGCCAATTGGTATGATCCTGTTCCACTAAAAAATAATTTCAAAACTTAGATAAAATAAGTACTAAGAATTCACACAGAATTATTACAAATTTGGTACTTCCTTTTCTTATCCACTGACAGTTGTATGAAAAGTACTTTAGTTAATAAAAAAACAATTGATTAGAATACCAATTTGATACACGATTTAGCCTCATCCCTTTACCAAAATAATACTTCTATGTTTACAAGGAGAAATAAAAAACAGGTTATATTATCCTATTTATTAAACAGTAGCTTCAGGCAATGTTGTGATAATGTCAGAGTCTCCAGGGTCAGTGATGGCTAGTGTGCATACTCTGTAGTATTTACCACAAGCTGTGCCTAACTCAATGTTGTTTCCACTGTAGTGGTGGACTCCTGTCTTGGCTAGCAGAGCGTAGTATTCAACCTCTGATTTCCTGAGAAAAAAGTATGTTAAGTACAAATGTAAATGTAGCTCACATAAAATCAGTGTGACATCAACTAAAAGGTTAGGTAGATCTCTGCAAATAAGTTGGTTCTGAAGTTTTTCTTATAAAAAGTTGTCAATTTTACACTTGGACCTGTCTACTACATCAAAGTCAGCTAAGTTACAAGACTTATGAACATGAAACTCACCAGATTTAAAAGCACATGGATCTTAGACTACTCCATAGGGTTCCCAATAATAATTCACTTAAATAAAGATCCAATATCGCAGAGTTACCTCTTAGATACAGTATCATTGATGAAAATTAAATGGGAAACCATACTTCTTAGTCCGAAGACTCCATATGCTTTCCGGTAAAGTTAATTCGGGAACTCTACTTCTCAGTAGTCTCACCTTAGAGGAGGAGCGTTCTTGGCGATGATCACCAACTTTGCCTTTCCTTGACGAAGAGTCTTTAATGTTTGTTTGTACCCCAAGCAGTATTTGCCTGATTTCATAACCAGGGCTAACCTGGAGTTGATGGACTCGATGGTCTTTTTCTGAAAAAACAAGTAAACATCAGCAAGAGCCAATAAGCTAGGCAATATGAGATAACCTCAAATAACTATGTTTGCTACAAACTCAACCTCTCAAATTATTGAATTAGCGAGCCTATCGAGTAGTATTTGATTTAGGACTTTTGTGGCGATTATTTATATTAAATATAAATAATCTTGCCAAGAGCCCATTACAGTTAATCACGATACACGTGTTAATACGTACTTGTTTCTTAGCGGCAACCATTTTGATAGCGTAGGTGTCACGCGATTATTACTGGAAAGTAGAAAAGGAAGAATGTTAAATATCACTAAATATTATTTAACACAAGAGAAAAACGAATTCTTACTAAGAAATGATAAAATAAAAAATTATAACCTACCCCGTACAGCACGATACTTGAAAAGAAATATGGAAGCCGATGTTACCAGCTAATAGCTATTACTTTACAAGAATTATACAACGGGAAATTTTGGTGACGACGAGCTTCAGTGTACTCTGTGAGCACAGTGTTGATATTTAATATTTTTTAAGATATATCCGAGAACAATACGAAATAATGAACATGTAATTGAAATGTTGTTAAAATTAAATTTTATTTGTAAAAGTAAAGCAATTTTATATTTCCCAAAAAAGTTGGTATACAGCGCACGTATGCATGCTCATAATATGATTTTCATATCCTAGTTAGTAATATTTATTATATTAAATTATTATATTAAGTGGAGAGTAATTCAATAAAAAAAAGGGTGCGTGTACTTATGTACGCGCGTAGGAAGTTATACTTCTTTGGCATTATTAAAAATAGTTTGGCTTTGTTCCACCTCCAGTTTTTGATGTTTCACAGCGATAAGATGAAAACTCTTTTTTAAATGGTTTTATTTAGCTCACCCCGTTTGTTTTATTCTTGGGTCAAATTTAGTAATTCAAATTTCACCCTCTTCCTGTCAACCGATTAATCTGAAATTTTGTATACACTTTGGATTTTGGTGACAATACAATAAACTAAATAAATAAATAAATATTATATAATATATAACATTATATTAAAAACTGTATCTATTTTATTAATTAAATATATATTATATTTATATTATAGAATTGATTTATTTATATAAACTAACGGGCAAGGAACCTTGCAATAATGAAGCACTAAATGAATTAAACAGAATGCGAAATAAAAACTAAAAACTAGAAAATAAAAATAGGTAAAAAAACTTTTTAAGTTAAACGGTTTTATGTTAAACATACATTGCAATGTTTAAGATAAATGTACTAAAAACCAAAAAATAATAAAATACATACAGTCGTGGGAATTATAAACATATGCATAGACTAGACTAAAATAAAACCGTGGGGCATGTCAATTGTCTGTTGAAACGATTCCTCGCCAGCCAGCAGTGTGAATGTCCAACGATAAACTAGTTGAAACATCTCTTTTATTTACATGGAGTGTATAACTATTGGAATTTCCATGAGCAAGAAAATAGTAAGTAATTTCCTGACCGTCTGCGGGCCAACTGCCTATTTTAACGACGAATTAAACGATTCTTCTATCGCACATTAAGTCGATAATTTGTAGACAATTGACATGCCCCACGGTTTTATTTTAGTCTAGTCTATGCATATCGACGTAGGAAAGCACATTTGCTGTAAGTAGACATATTGCAATTGTTCACCAGAGCCAAAAAACTTTATTAATTTCGGAAAAAAATTAATAGTGTCTGACCTATCCATGATATGGCTACCATTTTTGAAACATATATTTATTTAACTGCCAGTCACCATTTGCAATGTAAACTTTTTATCCAAAGTTACTATAAGTACGTGTTTGGCTAGTTACAGCAAACAGTTTTTTAAATCACAAACCTTTAAAACGCTGTAACTAAGGAAGAAAAATGTACGCACGGAAATATTATCAATTTACAGGCGGTAAATATGCTGTATGCAGGAAATTTATGTATTTGGGTACTTTTAATTGCAATTCAAGATGTAAGATTAGTTTATAATTATGATTAGATCTAGAAATGCAGTGGGTCATTTGGTAATGTAATGTTTGGTTGAAATAAAATGTCGTAAATGGTAAAAAAAAAAACTGTAGGTTCCCTAAACTTGCTGTAAGTAAACGAATGTAAAAATCACACGCCGCTGAAATGCTGTAAGTAGCGTTAAGTTTTTAAATGGGAAGAAGTAAGTATTTGTAAAGAAAAAATGCAGATTTTCTTTTGCTGTAAGTGCAAAATGTCTGAAATGACTAGATTTTGGTCTACATACAGCATTTAATCTTGCTAAAAATAATATAAGTACGGGCGTTTTCAACGGCGTATGTAATTTTTTTTTCATCGTAGAGACACAGGACCCAGGTTATTCGATGCGGCTTTTTTTTCTGATTCTAATGGCAGGAAAAAGTCACTTTAGGTATTTTGTCTACTTACAGCAAATATGCTTTCCTACGTCGATATGCTTATAATTCCCACGACTGTATCTATTTTATTATTTTTTGGTTTTTAGTACATTTATCTTAAACATTGCAATGTATGTTTAACATAAAACCGTTTAACTTAAAAAAGTTTTTTTACCTATTTTTATTTGTATTCAATTTAGTGCACTTACACTGATTCATCAATTGTTTTTTGTCTCTTGTCCTTATATTTGCTAGAGAAAAATTACATGTTTTGATTAAACAATGTGGTAATTTTTTTAATCAAAACATTACTCGATAATAATAATACAAACTGATAGTTAACCTCAATTGTAATGAAGCACTTAGGAAGGTTGATGAGCACAGTTTTTTCACAAATATTAATTAGTATTGGTTTAAATATTCAATTTAAATCACTTCTGATTATATATCAGTCAAGAAAAAGACATGATAATTGCCAATACATTTTTTCAGTTGCCACCACGCCGTCTGTATACTTGGACTTCTCCAATGCATACATCTCAACATATTGTGCGAAATCAAATTGATTATGTATTGGTAAACAAAAGATTTAGAAATTGTATCAAGAGCGCGAAAACCTATCCGGGGGCAGATATTGGGTCTGACCACAATCCAGTGGTTATTCGCATCTATTGTAAACCCAAAAAAGTTAAGTCAAAGAGCCAGCAAGTGAAATTAAATCTAAAAAAGCTTACGGATCCGAACACCAAACTCGAAGTCTCGAACGATCTGAATGATCAATTGAGTAAATTATCTCCTTCAATAACAAGTCCTGAAATATGGACCTGCCTCAAGCAAGCTATACATAATACCTGTACTAAGTTCCTTCGACCATCGACAACAACGAAGAAGCAGGAATGGATGAGTGATTTCATTATACAGCTAATGGAAGATCGGAGATTGTGCAAGAATATTGATCCTCTGCGCTATAAGGAGCTCGATAATATTATTAGAAAAGAAATTAAGAAGGCTCGTGAGACGCATTTCAAAAATAAGTGTGAAATCATGGAAGACCTGCACAACAAACACGATAGCTTCAATGTGCACAAAAATATTAAAGAAATGTTGGGACTTAAGTGCAGCAATTTAACTAGCTTAGCCGATACAAACGGGCAGCTACTTTTTAGTATTGAGGCCAAGAAGGATAGATGGTTGGAATACATATCAAAAATGTTTGAAGACCCAACAAGACACCTCGCAATGTCCTTAACTGGTAATGATACTGGCCCACCCATAATAAAAGCAGAAATTTTATATGCGTTAAAATTGGCTAAATTGGGCAGAACCCCAGGTCCAGATGGCATCCCAGTAGAGGTCGTTAAACTCTTGGAAGGGGAGAACATAAACTTGCTCAAACGATTATTCAATCACATTTATGACACAGGTGACCTCCCAACCGAGTGGCTAAGATCTACGTTTATTACCCTCCCGAAAAAGAAAAACGCTAGAAAATGCGAGGAATATCGTACAATTAGTCTTATGAGCCACGTGCTAAAGTTATTTTTGACCGTCATACATAACAGGATAAGAAGTAAGTGTGACGAACAATTGGGAGATAACCAGTTTGGCTTTCGCTCTGGTGTAGGCACACGTGAGGCTCTTTTTGCTCTGAATGTCCTTGTACAGAAGTGTCAAGATATGCAGAATGACGTCTTCCTATGCTTTATAGACTATGAAAAAGCTTTTGACAAGGTAAAGCATGACGTTCTCATAAATCGTTTAATTGACACCGGTCTCGATGAAAAGGATCTAAGAGTAATCAGAAACCTGTACAAAGACCAAAAAGCAACCGTGAAAGTTCATCACGAGGAAACGGATGAGATTGCTATTTACCGTGGTGTTCGTCAAGGTTGTATATTATCTCCGTTGCTATTCAATGTATATTCCGAAGCAACTATATCAGAGGCCATTGAGGGGTTAGAGGTTGGTGTGAAAGTTAACGGAAAGATAATCAACAACATTCGCTATGCAGACGACACTGTTTTAATAGCCTCGTCAATGGATGATTTACAAATGCTTGTTAATAAAGTTCATGAAACTAGCGAACTACTATTAATGCAGTAAAGACGAAGGTGATGGTCATTTCCCGAAACGATACTTTAGTTCCTAATTTATCCGTAGCTGGTAGAACGTTGGAACGGGTGCGGCAATACAAGTATTTGGGAACTTGGGTTACAAACGAGTGGAATCCTGATCAGGAAATTAGGTCTCGAATCGAAATTGCCCGAGGATCTTTCAACAAAATGAGGAAAGTTTTGTGCTGCCGTCACATGACCATTAAACTCCGAGTCCGACTTCTCCTTTGTTACATATGGCCAATTGTTCTGTACGGCTGTGAAGCTTGGACAATTAAAGAAGATACCCGCCGGCGCTTAGAAGCATTTGAGATGTGGTGCTATCGTCGCATGCTTCGAATAAGCTGGATCCAGAAGGTCTCCTAACGAGAAGGTTCTGATACGAGTTGGAATGTCGAAAAAACTTTTGCAGAACATTAAACAACGGAAAGTTGCGTACCTGGGCCACGTGTTGCGCCATGACCGCTACCACCTCCTTCAATTAATTATAATGGGTAAAATCCAGGGTAAACGGCGTGTTGGTAGAAGGAAGAAATCATGGCTCCGCAACGTTAGAGAATGGACAGGTATTGCAACTGCAGAAGAGTTGCTGCATCTGGCACAGGACAAGACACGCTTCAAGATACTGACGGCCAACCTCCAGTAATGGAGAGGCACTAAAAGAAGAAGAAGATTATATATAATTCAAAAAGCATTGCTAAATTTCTTTGAAAAAATAATTAAAACTC